CAGTAGACCTCCACAGGTGTGTTGTTCTGCAGGGTGACGAGGTAAACGCCGCTTGTTGTGGATCCTCCCTCGTAGATCTCAGCACAGTCACGGCATTTTCCTGGGGCTGCAAACATGATAGGAGAACTTAAGTTTTGCCTTTTCTTTTTGGTGTCGAATGGTCGAGTGGCTAGGCTAGCTGACACGAGTTAAAGATGTCACTTGTTCCCTCTCTGACATGCTTGGCTAGACGTTGTGTCATTGGCCATGGTATTTCACACGACTTTCCTTCCTTCACCCAGTAAACTGGATACCTGGCTTTAGTTTGTAGGTAATGAGGGACACAAACTGCTATGTGTCCCTCATTGGCCCTTTATCTCTTGAAAATGATGTACTGTAAGTAGGTAGTGCATTGAGCTACAGTGAAACGACAAGTAATGACAAGACAAAAATTGGGGGAGAAATATTCACACTGTTCGTATGTTGACCCCGTGAACCTGCAAGTATGATGTGACCAAGCCTGTCAACCAAGCCGGTTTGATCCGGTGAGCGTCTCAACACAGAAGATCCCCGGCTTGATCCGGCTCGATCGGGATTCGATCTACCTCGCGAGGTGGATTGTTGAAGAGCCGGATCAAGCCGAATCGAACCGGATCCGCGTTCCCAATGTTGTAAATTTGTCGGGATCGATTCAGATCAAACCCTATCCGGATCGATCTGGATTATTTTACAGTAGTAGGAACTGAGCCTTACATTATTGTCTTTATGTCTCTTACCGCATGTGTTGTTCCCTTCATGGTGTATCGTAGTTTTGTTGAGTAGCAGGACGGTTGAGTTCCCTGGAGGCAGGATCATGGTTGCTTCTGTCGTAGGTTCAGCTGACATAGTTGATGAGACAGAAGACTCCACAACTGGAGTGGACCGATGCGATAAACGGTGTGGCTTGGAAAGGGAAACAGTGGTCTTAGTAGAACAAGAGTACCGTAGAGCCAAAGTACGGTAGAAAATTCATATATAGAGCCAGCGATCAGTCCTTTCCATTGACTCGCAATCAATTTTTGAATAATACACAAATGGGAAAAATGTACACATAACTTACTAATATAGAAATAATATAGTCTCATAACATTGATGATTATGTAACTTAGATCTTTAATTATACACATCTACCACTTAATGTGTGCTCAGATACATGTAATTATTATTCTGTTGTTAGAATATCACATGGGTGACTATAGAGATCTACTGATATATACATGATAATCGAAGGTAGCAGACTTATACCTTCTGGTAAAATATAAGAAACCTGAACTAAGTATATATATATATATATACATATATATATATATATATATATATATTATACGCAAAGATCAACAGACAAGCCTTATGATTCATTATCACATGGGTCACCTGAAATAGAATGGTACATGCAAAAATATTACGCACTACTTCCAATACTGCATTGACTTAAAATAGCTTCATCAATTATTGGAGATGTGAAACTATAGTTCTAGTCCTACGAACCTGGCTTTTAGAGGTGGTCTTGAGGATGAACATTGTCAACGCCACCACACTCATCATTGTAGCGACTATGACGATGGCGAAGGTTAGTCGGGAAAAGGTAGTGCGAAACATCCGTCTGAAACAGGATGTCTCACCTTCGTTGATGACACGTGCACCTGTAAAACAAACCAAAAGAAACGATATCCTAGGTATGAAGTAGACAATAAAAACTAATTATGTGGTGTTAGAATTTAAAATTAGTTTCTTCGTTTGGAACTCGTTATACCTAGTTTTATTTTACATCATAGGCTGTGTATGTGTGTGTGTGCGTGTGTCAGCATAACTCGAGTTAAATGGGTTATCTTGATATTTGGTAGGTGGGTAGGTCTTGATGAAAACTCGAACTGATTAGATTTTGGGCCTCCTGGCGGGGGTTGATATTATGCTTAGCAGTAATTTTTCTCACCTGCCCCCCGTGCCGCTTGTGGCACGTCTTGGACTGAGGATTGACGTTGAGTGACCCTTTGTTTTGTTGGGCTGCTGTCTACATTTCCCTCTTTCCCATCAGTACCGGGAGTGTCGACATCCATATTTTCATAGACATGTTCAGCATCTGCCTCGCTTATATCTAATAAAAAAACATATGTTGACAAACCGCTTTTAAGTCTTTCATCAAAAGATAAATTGCATTTTGACTGAAGGAGTGCAGCTTCTTGAAGAAAGCATAGATCAAATATCTAGAACGGTTAGTTGTACATTAATTTGGTAATCCATTGACTACCCTATCAATGTGAGTTTGCAATAGTTCAACAGTAAAGTAGATGATTTTTGACAGCTCAGTTTTTAGATGTTTACCATATATTCCAATGGGATCTGTGGCCTAAATTGTGGGGAGTTTACAAATCCATCTGACAACCATCGACGTATCCGGTGAATAAACCATGAAATCAAAAGAGTTGAGTTGGAAAAAAATTGAAACACTTTAAAACGTGACTCAATTAGTCTGTATGTAGCTGTAGCAACATTTTACTGTGAAAATATCACTCTACGAGCTAATTTCATGTAAAATTTGTATAAAAAAACGATTATTTTCTATTTACAAAAAAATAACAATTGCCGGCCAACAATATGGCTGAACATGCTCGAAAAATGGGATGATTACATTTGCTATAACTATCTAAAGTCAAACTGGGTGTTTTTTCTTGGTCACTTAACATAATTTGAAATTTGAATTCACAAACAAATAAACAAACAAAACCTTGATCTGTTGCTCCTTGTGACAGGTTTTTGCGGTACGCAGGATTTTCCATGCCCGTGATAACCGCCTTGATAACCGTCGAACCTGTTGGAAAAACTGGGATGATAACATGTTCGATAACTGTATAACTGACATTCCAAATATCTAAACTCGATTCGGTGTTTTTTCTTGGTCACCTAACATTAATCACATTTATAGATTAATAAATCTAAATTCATGTTATTGGCTGAGAAAGTACTAGTAACTAATTTTATTCTTGGAAATGAACCATCCCGACTGAGTCAAAGTGAAAATAAGAACGCAAACAATATGCCACAACCTGTGCCATAGTTTTAATTATTTTCCCCCCTGATTTTTAACAGTAGAAATTGATACCTTCTTTCGATGCCCCTTGTGGCACGTTGTGTTTGTACACGGGGTTTACCATTCCCGTCGTAATACTGGTGACTGAAGCTGTCTGACAGTTAACGGCTTCTACCTGCGTATCAGTACCGGGAGGGGCTGTGTCTTCCTGGCAAGGCATGGTTTCGTTCGAATTTGGACTTGTACCTAGAACATATTTGAACAAGTCGCCATGATGGAAGTGCTTTCAAAAACTCATGCTCTACTAATATCAAGCGTTTATACAGGTGTAAGCCTTAGTACATAGTGCAAGCTTTTATACAGCTGCAAGCGCAAGCCTTTATACAGCTTCAGATGCAAGCGGGGAGCCTGCAGCTGCAGGTGCGAGCGTTTTTCCATGCAGGTGCTGCTCTCAAAAACAAGGATGAACTTGACCTGATGATGATGTTGATAATAGAGAATACACAATATGTTAGAATCCAACAATAATGTACGCCAAAAAAACAGTTACTCAAGCAACTGGATATGATTTTGGAAACGGTGTCACTGGCGAAAGGTAGTAGATGCTACCTACCTAAAACGTCTGACCGTTTCCAAAATCATATCCAGTTATTTGACTTTTTTTGGCTTCTCTTATCACCTGGATGTCTAACCTTCACCGACTCGTACCAACAATAGTAATTAGTACTTTTCAAACAGAACATATTGGGCACCTACCTGTGGCAGACATGTCTCCAATTTGGTCCCCTTCATCGGGTGGGGTCCCTGCCTGGTACAACACAGACGTTGACTGCTTGTCCTCATCATATTGTTTCTTGTTCTCTGAGTTCTCATAGAGCCGTGTCAAAGCGTCTGGATCTGTCGGATCTCCACAAGCACAAAGTTCTGACATCACTCTGGGTTTCTCTTCTCCGTTAGATGGTGAAACCGTCTCCTTGATATCAGTTGTGTCTCCATAGAGGCGGGAGACCATCTGAGAACTTTCTTTAGCCACGTCTTGACCATCTCGTGGTTGTTCAGTGTTTCGAGTAGATTCCTTGTTGTCTGTTGTGTCTCCGTTCAGTTGTGACATGGGTATTTCCTGCCCTGCCATTTCACCCTGGTGGCTAGAGTTTGGAGTGAGGGGCAGCTCAACATGAGACCCGATAGAGTCAGTAGGTTTTTGCTCAAGACGTGGTACAGCCCGGACTTCATCTACTGCCTGCATGTTTTCTTTCTACGTTCTTCTTTTCAAAAGAATATTTCTTTGAGGAGTTGTAGTTACTGTTGGTGACTTAAAACAACCAGGTGTCTGGACCAGAAAAACAAGACTGTCTGTCAGTCCGTATTGTGCCTTTTCTGTCAGCTCAGACTTATTAGGAAAGTGTTAACATTATGGATTATGATCATGAGAAACCCACGCTACAAACAACAGTGCAGCGCGTGGGATGAGCTAGATTTCTTCAATGCAAATGAAATCAACTTTGAAGCTTTTCCAAGCCTTTTTGAGCATTGTACGAGTACTGAATTTAATATTCATTGTCATTTGTCGACACTACCAACAAGCATTATTAGCTTTCATGCACAGTAGTGAAACAATCATTTCTAAAAGCCTTGTATCAAACCAGTAATGCAACGCATATAGATGATGATTAAACTTCATTTACATGTTTGGTGCTTTATTCGGCCAGTGTTTTGTCCCTTGGAACACTGATCATAATCAGGATGACAAACCCGCAATGTAAACAACAGTGCGTGGGACATGTTGTGGTTATTCAGTAAGAAAAGTAATCAACTTTAAAGCTGTTCAACCCTCTTTTACGCATTGCACGAGTCAATATGCATGGGCAACTGACTGTGATTGGCTTTTAGGCAGTTGTGAAATACTCATTCCCAGAATGCCTTACATCAAGTCAGTCCTAAGGCAATGTATGCTGTAACTGAGCGAATGAATGAAAAGCTTTGTTTTAAATTTTACGTTGGGATACGAAAGTGGTGTCGTGTGGCGTAGCGGTAGCGTGTTCGGCTCAGACCCAAGAGGTCCCAAGAGGTCGAATCCTTGCTGATGTCACCAATCTTAGCTTGTACCGTTGGAAAAGGCACTTAACACGACTTTCCTCACTTCACTCGGGTGCAAATGAGTACCTAGCTTCGGTTAGGGACATCCCTCAGATAGGACGTTAAATGGAGGTCCCGTGTTTGGGGAGAGGCACATCCCACTTACGTTAAAGAACCCACTACACTTACCGAAAAGAGTAGGGAACCTTCCCGGTGTGAGTGGTTCAAACTTGACACCTTGAAGAGGTGATAGTCACCTGTTATGTCAGTCCTTCCACAAATGTGGTAAATCTTAATAAATAAATAAACCAAAAATCAACTTACAATTACTTTAAAAAAAATAAGTGTTGTGACTTCTATATATATATTTGATGGACATGTATAGCGACCATATAGAGCCAGAAGTGCTATATGTGTGTTTTAGTATGTTGGTACTTTTAAAACTGTCTTATTAATGTATAACAGAGATCCTCTGAGAAAAAGATGCAATCTAGTATTATCAGGTAAGTTATTTAAAATTTTTAAGAACAAACTTTCACATGAAACATGGTACACGAGTAACACGACCCCCATCCATATAGCAAAATGAATATGCTAACAGTAATATAGTATACATCTGGGTAAATAATTTATTACTTATCGTAAGCAAGCAATATAAGGATCACTTTTTACAAACTTTTTTAACATGGCTCTATACATATTTGGGATTTTATTCTGATACACTTCTTTCGTAGAGTACTGAAATCAATTCCAGAACTAACAGACCCAATTACCAAGGTCTAGCCCAACCATTGTGCTATATAGACATACAATACTTTTATATTATATTATCTAACCTACACAATGTACACCTATAGACTAATGAATAGTGGCATCTGTACATTTTGGAGTTGCACAATGCTTGCATCTGACCATATAGCTTTGAGTACATTTTTAGTTGACTAGCTTAACACAGTAACAAACCTGAGACATCTACCTAGGTACACTTGGGTCGACTACAATGTGTAGGATTTCTAGCCTGGAGCCCAACCTTGTCAGCTTTGGTCCACTCCCCAAGATCTGCTACCCTTGTAGCTAACCTAACAAGGCTGGACTCCAGGCTAGACGACTTCTGACTTTAGACAAATGATCAATATTAAAGGCAGAGTCTAGCAAATATCTTTTTTGCAATATAAGAGCCAAAAACTGTTGTGGTCTTATAAAGTTTTACAATAATCATAGAGAGTCACAGGACTTTCTTATATTCTATATATTGATAGTGCCATTTATTCTGGTTGTAGAATGTTCTGAATAAGAGTTCTCTCCTGCTTCTAAAATTTACCAGCAACAAATAGCAATTCAGAGGGTTAAAATTTCCTAGGGACATGCCACCCAACCTTCCTAGTTTTCTTGCAGAGCTTTGCTTGGTCAATCTGAGATGACGACAAAAAAAATCTATATCGAGAGAACCCTGCTACAAGGTCCGATTATCAGGATACAGTAACATCGTGACATTTTCTTTTACTTAGATCAATTTCTAGCGTATTTGATATTCCTTCTATATGGTCTCTAATGCCATGCACTGTGACACACAGTGAAATTGGGACAGTTTTAACTCTATCATAACTAAGAGCCCATCTATGTACCCAAAAGTGCTTCAGTTGAAGCAGGTGCCGTTTGGGTGAGGGTTAACAATCAGTCCTCTTCACTCTGCGGAAATAATAACGTCCTGAGCAGCTCGTACGACGCGTTGATGATTCCCCACGATATCATCGCCCGCGAGTAGCTCAGGTGGACACCGCGAAACATCTTTTTCCACTTCCGTCCCCGCGTCTCGTACACGATGAGGAACATCTTAACCGGACCGATAAACTCTCCTCCGAGTCTCGCTTGCATGGCCGTTTTTGTCACGTTTACCGGGAAAAACAGCGTACTGAGCAACGCTCCCAGTACAGCTCCGCTGACAAAGTCTTCGAAAAAGTTGCCCATCTGGCCGTGTGTGGTGGGAAGGGCGTCTTTGATCGTCCCTCGCATGTTAAAGAAGACGGCGTTACTGAGACCGTTGCGGATCAATATTACCGACACGCCGCGGTAGTACTCAGCGAATCCATATGTTCGGACAGTCTTGAAGGCATCAAACGTGTTGGTGAAGTGATTGTGGTATCTGTGATCTTGTAGTAACGTTTGGAGACGTTCGAACGGTGTCAGGATCGCCTCTGAAAATCCCGCGCCCATCCCCGCGATCGCCTGCACCACCGGTTTCTGCATGTTTGGACAGCTGTGGGTTAGAAGTTTGCCGTAGACGTCGTACAAGCCAAACATGAGCGACAGGGAGAATGTTTTCTGTAAGAAGGGCGGGAGCAGCCCCCGGTACAGGTGCCGCAGCCCTTCTGATTGCATCTGGTTGAACGCTTGTGCAGCCGCATCCCGTGAAGCTGCTGGCGGAACATAAGCTTGTTGACGGGGAACGTGACGACCGTGTTGATGACCGCCGCGCCCCAACCGCACACGAACCCCTGCGTGTCCTCCTTGCCGTAGATGTAGTGCGGCTTGTTCCAGCCATTCTCGATTCGCAGTCTGGTCGCATCGTAGACAAAGCCGGGCTCGCGCTGTGACGATTCTCCACTCATCTCCACTCAAGCCTCCCGATCATGTCTGACCTCGCAGGTGACCTGTGACCTCATGCGACCTTCGACCTATAAAGAAACAAAACATCATTCACGAGTTGCACATTCCCAGGATCCTTTGCGCACAGGGTAGGGAAAACCACGTGACTCATCCTCGGCCCTGGTCGGAAGTGTTCGCGAGCGCTCGGAAATTTAAAAAATGGCTGACACCACTGCCGGCGGCGGGAGGCACGTAGTTTTTCACGGCGTTCGTACGGCAAAGCGGCATCGAATTTTTGCTCCATGACTATCGGTATGGGATAGGATAGGGTTGATTCAACATACTACGTGTTAGGGCACCTTGCCCTAAGCGATATCTGGCCGATAGTAGGCTGGGAGCATACCTTGCCCTAAGCGATAGTCCGACTTCTTCCGACCAGGGCCGAGGATGAGTCACGTGGTTTTCCCTACCCTGTGCGCAAAGGATCCTGGGAATGTGCAACTCGTGAATACTTGATTGGACCAGGCTTAGTAGAAGATTGCAGTAGAACACAATTTGATTTGTTTTTCACATTTTATTGCCCAACAAATGCAAGTTGGTAAATAAAGTTTTATTAGTCAGTGTATTCACTACTAGTAGAGGGCCAGCATGGGGGGGGGGGAGAAGTGATTATTACATAATTTTGTATTAGTATTCCAAAGATATAGTCATTATAGACAAAGACAGATATGTTCATATCTGTACTGAATCCCTTGAAGTCAGTTGTTCTTTATAATGTATGCAAATGATTTGAATAGATTATGTCTATGGCATTACATAACAAAGTTTCATATTATAGATTTGGAAAAAACGGGTTATGTCATGTCAGATGTTTGAAACATGCGCCCCCCTCCCCCTCACCCCACCCCTTTTATTTGCTAACTTTCCGTTCCGCACACAAGGAAAGCCATGGGCTTAGAAACACAGACGACACGGCAGGTCACAGATATAGGTCGTTAAACATTGTTGTGTAATCGTTACACATTAGTATTAACGAGAAGTATTCATAAGAACATGCGAAGTTATGACAGGAAAAAATCGCATCCATGCAGGGCACACGTTTTAAACACATCACGAATCGACTTTGTTTTAACCGTTTTGACGTCATATCAAACATAAACACAACGTTGTACTCACGCCAGCGGGAGCTTTTTCGTACCTTGAGTAACGTTAGAAGGTTAGAATGTGTCCTGAAGACAAAAATAACCCCTGTCAACAAGACCTGATAACGAAAAAATCTCGAACGGGAGGTTTGGTCCGGCGCTTCGCATGACCTTGGGGCCTCGGAAAGAAGAGCTGTTCAAAGTAACATATATTTAGTGCCTTACAAAGGGATAGAAATTACTGCAAAAGTCTGCAAAAATACCACAACAAATTATGAATAACATTGAAAATATTATTAAAATTATTTATTATATGGTAAAGAAGAAAAATAAACACATATTAGCATTACCCTTCATAAATTGTGAGGAAATATAAACAGGCGACAAGTACGAAATAGATAGGCTACCCTCTAAGTTGACTATACCATTGGGGTTGTGGGGGTGAAGGAACGAAAACTCGAATGTATCCATGTGGGTCTGCATGGGGTCCTGTTAAAGTTTTTCGGTAAATTTATTAGGTTAAACGTCTGACGTTAAATTAAGTTGTTCTTGTGTGAGGTCTTGGGAGGACTTCATTGGAATGTTTGTGTGTTTAGTATCTTTAATAGGAAAACTTATATCGATTCTGAAGGCAATGCATAATTTTCCACCACGAATATTCCACCCCACTTACGAAATACTTGCACACAGCAGATTATTAAAATAATACTATCATGAAAGTTCATCTGTGTTGGTAGTTACATGTTTAAAGTTAATACTTTTGGTCCAACACAAAAATTCACCTAGAGTTTTCGACCAGTCACTCTGGTCTTCCTCAGTAGACTGACCCAGCTGTGAAGCTTGTGTTGTGTCCCAAACCGTGCCTGGGCATGGTTTGGGACACACGGCGCGTGTCCCAAACTGTGCCTTGGGACTGAGCACAGTTCGGGACACGCGGGGACTGTCCCGAACCGTGCCTGATCGGGCACAGTTCTGGACACACAAGGGCCTTGTCCCATTCCGTGCTTTGGGGGCGGAGCTTAGTGTTTTGAGGGAGGAGCCTTCCCGTGGTGTTGTTTACTGTTTTAGGTCGCCATCTTTGTTTTTCGTCGGGGCAAGAATAAGAAAGAATCGGTGTAATTCCTGCTCTGTAAAGTATACATTTTTACATTTCACGCTGGTCTACGACTTACATGTAGTGTCCAAACAGAGAGTCTTGTATCATTCTGCAACACAGTGCGAACACAGTTCTTGATACAACACAGCTCGACGTATACCCAAGAAAGCAGACTGACCCGAGCTCAGTCCTGCAATCAGAAACAACACTTGCTTATCCACCAACCCCACGCACGGATCTGGATAGTCCTGACGCGTATCCACGACAGAGTAGAGCAAATTAACTTGTAGATAAACGAAGTGTTCGTTCAGAACCGTGCTTCAGGTCGAGCACAGTTCTGGACACGCGATGGCCTTGTCCCAAAACATGCCCGGGCACGGTCTGGGACACTGAATGCGTGTCCCGAACCGTGCCTGGGGACTGAGCACCGTTTGGGACACGCGGGTGCCTTGTCTCAAACCGTGCTTGGGCATGGTTTGGGACACTCGGCGCGTGTCCCAAACCGTGCTTGGGGAAAATCTACATTCTGGGACACGCGGGGGACTATCCAGAACCGTGCCTGACCGCACACAGTTCTGGACACGTATAATTTAAGCTTGCGGCTTTACGGGACTGAACATAGTTCTCATAACATGTGTTCCAAACGAGTTTCTTTCTTGTATTAACTAGTCTCTGTATATTATTATCTAAGTCCATGTCGACCAAACATAAGACTAAGTTGTGAGAAAACTGCATTTTGAAAGCACATGTTGTACACAGACTCGCAAAATCTCACGTAATCTAGCCATATAAGAAATCGTGGGCGTGAATAATTATGTTTAGGTCCCCGCCAATCACTATGATTGACAGCGCTTCCGGGCACGGTTCTGGACAGTCAGGCTGTGTCCCGTTCTGTGCCCGCTCAGGCACGGAATGGGACGGGCACAGTTTAGGACACAACAGCTTGTCACGCGGCTTCTTTGAAGTGTGACGTCAACACTGGGTCAAAGGTATCTGGTAGACGATGTCGGCCCCCGTCGCGGTTCAAGATTATTAAAATCTTAGGATTTGTATTTGTGCAGAAAAAGATATGTTACTGTAAACAAATTCACGCGTCACACATCCAAACGCACACAACGCCACAAAACAGAAGCTTAGGAGTTACAACACCAATTTATTAGAACTCTTGGGGTTATATTGTACAACGTTATACATGGTAGTGACAACGTCATTATGTCGATTAAACGCATCTCAGTTGTCATCTAACACTGTCCACACTTCCAAGACAAGCTTAGAACTACAAAGACAACTTTGTACTAAAAAGGTAACATTTGCAAATGCATAAGGTTTACCTTCGCATATGGTCTGCTCTAAGGTCTTACTCAAACACATACATGTATACGAGTCTAAATCCCTACTGCTATAAAATTGCAACATGATGTAACCCACCACTAGTTACCATGAATCATGATAACAGATACAACATTGGTTCAGGTCATTGAAGTCACTTTTGGAGAAGAAGATTAGGAGAAACGCAGCAAAAACAATATGTTTTCCTTCGGTAAACATAAATACATTTGCATTAATTTTATGAAAATCATCACATGCATTTTGATACATTACATGATATCTTTACCGATAAGCATGGTACTCTGTCAATGTCTACCACATCAAGGAGGTTTAATTACATTAAACGTAGCCTCTTTATCACAGTGGCTTTTACGTAGCCTGACTAAATCTGCGCTCCTAGCGGCCGGCCCGGTATTACACCAGCCGCCCCACCCAGGCTAGCTTTTACTAGCCTGGTTACTAGCCTGGTTACCAAACCTATTAGCTCCCGAGTCCTACATCCGATCAGCTATAATAGGTTTAGTAACCAGGCTAAGCTTTTACGTAAGTACTTGTTTACACTGACACTTATTATTGTGAATCATTCTTTCCAAAACTCAACATTTAGAATATAAAAATTTTATACTCACGTCAACATAACAGCTTCAGGCAATTCAATTCCAGCCTAGTAAATATAATTTTGTCATTCTTTTAACTTTGTTATTGTTTTGATTTTGCGTAGTATTTTTCCAAATATTCTTTTCCTACATAAATGATACACCACACATTGACCACATATCATTAAGTTAAGTATACAATGTAAGCTGATGAAGAATAGAACTATATGAAGATAGCAGACCAGCATATATGTTCCTAATGCATGCGCAGTTTGATAGAACTACTTTTTTTCTACATTTACAGTCTCCTACATTTTACAAAAACACAGTGTACAACATGTATCAAGAAGAGAGAGAGGAAGCTAGTCGAATATAATACAATGTAGTCGAATATAATAATATGTAAAACTAGCTGTCTGTACTGAATGGTATTTTGACCTTTGGTTAGCTTAGTTAGTAAGTTCTAACATGTCTTTGTGGAGACGTGAACTTAGCCAAGATGAACAAAATATGTACAATAAGGGGCATCTTCTAGAATAGAAACAATCGCCTCCGGTACTTTCTAGACACCTTTTTAAATAAATAAATTTGTTACGGTGGTATAACCATTACTATGAATATATGGTAGAAAATGCACAGTAAGGAAAACAAACCTAAAGATCCAGTGATAGGAAATAATGACCAAATCCTTCCGGTATACATTCGGATACTAGTAACATAAACTACCAGAATTCAGTGTGTGTGTGTGATATGCCGTATGCTCTTGCTCGGAGTCTTGGGAAAAGACAGTTATACAACCTTGCTACGGCGATACCGTCTGGGGCGGAAATATGGTAATTAAGTTCTCCAGTGGTTTGCTAACCACTAACTGCCCACCCGGTCCTACGGCCATATAACTGACCTCGTCCACATAGCCCCTGATATGAACGAGGGTGCGGACGAACTCCCCGCGGCTTGTGAACATGAATATTTTCACCCTCTTCTTTTTGAACGCCTTTGCGACAATAATGTGCCCCAGACTATCTGTACAAATGCCTTCTATATTTATACCTCTACCAATCCGGAACTTGAACAGTGGATGCCCATCCCTATTGTATACCTGTACAGAGTTAGAAGATTTCAAAACAATAATGTCTCCCTCATTGCCAGATGCGACGTTACATCCTTTGTACCATTTACATGGTATTTCGTGTATTAACGAGCCGTTTGAATAAAAGATATGGATATAGCCATAATTAGAAGTCACAATGATCCTGTCATTGTACACGTCCGCAGCAATGCCTAACCTTTTGTATCTAACATTGCCAATGGACTCACTGGGTAAACCAAATGTAGTTTCTGGCAAACCTTCTCGATTATACTTTACGATGTGAGCAATGTTTAATTTGAAGCCAACAACCCACAAATAACCCTTTCTGTCCATGGCAACATCCTCAGGAAACATGGACTGTCCATTTGTATCAGGTACCACAGTCTTCAAGAGGCGAAGAAATGCCCCATTCAAGCTGAAGACTTGGACTCGTTCATTACCTGTGTCAGCCACATATATCTCATTGTCACTGGAAACGGCCACTCCGCTTGCTCTTCCAAATTTCCCGGGATCTGAGCCCTCTCCGCCAAGGGTGATCTTCTCTGAGCTGAAAATCTCCGTGTGGCGTTCTGTAATCAGTGATTAGAGTGAATAAGTTAAAGCCCTCATAGGTGGTCATAGTGCTTAAAGTAGCGTGCGTAGTAAAGCGGTTAGCAACCCTGCCTCTGGACTACTAGTAAGATGTTAGGAGTTAGAACCCCAGCTTTTGTCGTTCACCATACATGCATGCTAAGTACTGGGAAGGGTCGCAGTCCTTAGGACGGGACGTTAAGCCGTGGTCCACTGCTCATTGTGCTTGTCGAAAAAAGCTAGGAGAAATCCCCTGCTACAATCAAGTGATGCCAAAAAAATTGCAAGTTGGACATCTAGTTTTTAGACTATTGGAGTAAGCAAGTTTTAAAGATGCAATACCTTTGTCGAATGATGGTTTCAACGAAAGAACACTTGTCGTTCTCACTGTCTATTCAGGTCTGGTTGTCTCAGAAGACATCGTTCTTAGATGGGAGGACATCTTTGCTGGTGTTGATGTTAGGTGGAAGGACAACGTTGATGGTGTTGATGTTAGGTGGA